ACTGATTAAACGATGACTAACTGAATTATAATTTAATGAGTATGATGGGTCTGGTAATAGCTGCTGAGATGACTTTTGTACTCACTCATTGAACTCATAATCCTTTGGAGGGAAGAGAGTACAGCAATTGGATCCATTTTTTTCTGAAACAGAAATGAGATGATGTGAGCAAATCTTCGATGGCACAAACTGCAAAAGGCAGAGGAACAAAAGAAGTCCAAAGTCATTTACACTTACATGGAGGACATAACACAAATCGGCGTCACTGCTCCGGCAGGCTAATCCACTCATGGTAGATCCCGTCATATAGAGCTGCCCCACTGTGAGAAAAAACAAAGCAGTGACGACGAAAGGATAACCGAGTGAAAGAGTCATTAATACACACTTGTGCAGACACGCATGTCTTCTTGTAGCAAACTTCTGCATGTCTCTTTCCGACATAAATCCGAATGCTGCTGCTGGCACATCTCGAATAGACAGGCCACTTGAAAACTTAGCTGAGGGCACAGTAACAGGCAAACATGAAAACACACTTGGTGCAATAATGCGCTGCACTATTCTGTGATACCTGGTCGTTATCGTGGACATGATGGTTCATGGAGTTGCGTGGGATCGCAGGTACACAAGGGTGCACACGCGAATGCGGGTGATCAAAACCAGAGGATGATCTGGACGAGCCTGCCAAGCCTGGGTCAGGGCTAAAAGAGCGATGACGAGGGTGACAAATGAGAGAATGTCCTGAAGGGGGATGAGGTGAGTCATCACCACGTCGGCGCTTGTCAATCGGGGAGCCGTAGTCCTCGTGTTTCCTCCTGGAAAAGCATGTGAGATGTAAAAGCACAAATGCCTATAACTGTCGGTCAGAATCTTTGAGACAAGTCGACATACTTGCGCCAATCTCTCCGAGTGTGAGGAGGGGGCGATGGGCAAGGCTTCCAGTCATAAGGAGGCAAGGTGTCATGTGCACGAACATCATAGCTGTTTAAAAACACATAACACTAGATGTTAAGCAGTTAAAACATTTGTTTCAGAGGGAGTGGAAAAGTCCCCGGCTGTCAACACACAATTTTCCAGTTTCATAGATTTGCCTGCAAAGGTATTAACGTGCATTTTCTGTTCATCCCGGAATTTCCACCAAAAGCTGAATATTCCAAACTTTATTAAAGTTCTGGAACAAACCATACTCTTTGGATAACTGTAACACACAAAAATAAAGCTATAATCCCACAATCCTACGACAATTCTGGCACTCAGTCATGCTCACCTGTCGACTGCTCCGTGTTGGTAAAAGTATGGATCCATGGAATCGGGCCTTGGCCTGTAGCGTGACCGCTGTGTCGTTGATGCGCCCTGTGGGAACATGCCTCAAGAAGCCTCAGCGTTAACACCACTGGAATCGAGGGTACATGGAACAAGAGGGAAAGGAGCAGACATGAAAACAGCACAGTAAAAATTATAACAACTAAGAGGTCACTAGTCAATTGCAAGGCTAATGAAAATTGCACATGACGTTTCCAAAGAATCAGAAACTCCTCCCGAAGAGGTTGTATGTAGTAAGCTAGCAGGCAGCTACCACAAAGCGTCCACCTCATAAAATAACAACAATATCATAAAATCTTCTGTCCGGTGGCGCCTCGATCGACCATTTAGACATGGGAACCATAACAGTACTATTCCACAAATAAACCGGTTGTTTTAAAATTGAATCCAAAATCACACGCCTTCAACACCCACCATTCCAAATGTAAACCACTTCCTGTTCGTTTTATCTCGCGTTGTCGTGACGTAATGCATTTAAATTAAAGGGAACGTAGCAACTTTTCGACAAAAAAAAAAAAAAAAAAAAAATTGGATTTTGTCGAATTTTGTCATACTAAACTAAACTCAACTCAACTAAACTAAACAATTTCTTTCTTCGTTGCAAGAGTAGCCAAGTAATGTTAAATAAATGGCCAGCAAGATTTGGCACATTTTGGTATTTAAATAAGACTAATCGTTGAGATAGTCTTACATACTGTGAGAATGATTGAATGAATCATTAGTGTATAATTAACTATATATATTTTATATAGTATATATAGCATTTTTTACAGGTTAATTCCATGGGGACCTGAATCAGGGTAAGAGAATAGCAGCGGGGGCGGCCCGGTGGTCGACTGGTTAGCACATCTGCCTCACAGCGCAGAGGTTCAGAGTTCAATTCCGGCTCCGGCCTTCCTGTGTGGAATTTGCATGTTCTCCCCGTTCTTGTGTGGGTTTTCCCCGGGTACTCCGGTGTCCTCCCACATTCCAAAAACATGCGTGGCAGGTTGATGGAACACTCTAAATTGTCCCCAGGTATGAGTGTGAGCGGATGGTTGTTCGTCTATGTGCGTCTTGCGACTGGCTGGCAACCAGTTCACGGTGTCCCCCGCATACTGCCCGAAGACATCTGGGATAGGGTCCAGCATCCCCTGTGACCCTTGTGAGGATAAGCAGATCAGAAAATGGATGGATGGATGGATGGAATAGCAACGGTTTATGGGGTCCAGGGCGGGCAGAGCCCATCTCCCAGTAAAGGCCTGATCAAAACCAGGATAAACCCCTCCCCTCCTTTGCTTTAGGTCCCTGTGAATTATGCCCAGTAAAAAGAAACAAAAGATTTTTTTTCCACACGTATTCGGGTTTATTTATCAACATTATTTTGCCATAGAGAACAAGCAACTGAAAAGTAGGAACCACAATGAATATTGAACTGACTCATGACCAAAGTAACCACGTGTCTAATAATAATAATAATAGTAATAATAATAATAAAAATAATGATAATAATAATACTATCAACTCAACTCTCAACTGTATTTATAGAGCACTTTTAAACAACCACTGCTGTATACAAAGTGCAATAATAATAATAATATTTTTTTGTCAGCGTTTCCTTTCAAAATAACACAAAGCCTTATTTTTTTGTGTCATAATATTACATCAACTTATCTCAAAATCAGTTCTTTGGAATTCCCGCCAACCTCAAGGCTGAATAAAATTTGATTATGCCCCTTTGGTCCAGGGAATCAGCGGTTATTTAAATTGGCTCCGTCTAGTGGTTAGGATGGGAATTGTGGATGTGGCGTGAGCAAAGGGCATCTTACCCAGACAGGGAGTTTCACCTCGCTCTATGCTAGTGCTCCATTTTTTTATCCATAGATCCATTTTATAATCTGCTTATCTTCACAAGGGTCGCGGGCGTGCCCTGAAATGGGTGTGCCAAACGCAGGGCACACAAAGACAGACAACCATTCATGCTCACAATCACCCCTAGGGACAATTTAGAGTGTTCCATTAACCTACCATGCATGTTTTTGGAATGTGGAAGGAAACCGCAGTACCCGGAGAAAAGCCACGTTAGCACAGGAAGAACATGCAAACTCCACAGAGGAAGGCCACGGGCTGGAATCGAGCCCATGACCTCTGCACTGTGAGGCGGACGTGCTTAACCGTCACCACCATGATGCTCCAATTTTTAAAATCAATGTTCAATTTTTGTCAGTTAATAAGACTCCTAATCAAACTCAAACTTACTTTACCCATGGGGGGGGGGGGATCAATTTCATTTAATTTACCTAGGGCCAAATCACCCAACTAGCAGCAGTTATAACTTTGACTATAACAGGGGGACATTCCATCGAAGTCCATTTTTTCCACTGTTTTATGCACATCATGAGTGAAAATAAGTCAGTGACATGGATTAAAGTTGACATTTATGCGGTTTGTCACATACAACAGCCTTTGAAAGGCAAACATGTGCAGAAATACTGTGATGTAGGAATTGTGACTCATTATTCAAGTACGAGCCCGCTTTTTGATTGCTGCACACCCACTCATCTCAGGAAAAAATGACTGATGACAACACACACAGCGTCATAAACATTGCTGCCAATCAGACGAGTTGAGGAATAAGCTGCTTCAATTTATTTTTGGACAAACTCCAGAGCATTTTGGAAACAGAATTGTGCTCTGTTCGGCAGATTTCATGGTGGATGGCTTCGTCATGTCAACCGTCTTTCACGCGCTACAAATACATTTGTGGGTTTTGAGTGACACAGCCACACATATAACCAGGGGTCTCAAACTCCAGTCCTTGAGATGTTTCCTTCCTCCAACACATCTAATTCATATACAGTATACACAAGGCATTTTGTTTCAGATCAAAAAAAGAATGTCAGACAAAAGTTGAGAATTCCAGCTTTTATGCCATGGTGTTTACATCTAGATGAGTATTAAGTAACAACTCAGCAGTTTTGTTTGGAGCCACCCGCTTTTTACGTAATCAAAAGTATTGGAATAGACATTGTTAAATTAAATCAAAGTGAATTAATATTTTGTACTTGGTGGCACAACCCTTACTTGCAACCTATTGACTTCGACAGCCTGTTGCATTCTTCATTTGAAATGCTTTTTCAGGCCTCTATTGCAGCCTCTTTCAGTTCTTGGTTGTTTCTAGGGGGTTCCCTTCAGTTTCATGTTCATCTTTTGCTCAGAAGCCCAATGTCTCCAGTATACAACAAAAACAAAGGCATTGCCCGTGGCTGGGCTCAGAGCATGGATATACCTTGCCTTCATGCTTAACGCTCCGTTGTTCCCGTTCCTCCAGTGTCGATGCTGTCCCTGTTATTTTCCGCCGAAAAGACTCAATTTCAATACATCAAGATCTTAATTGTGCTTGACATTACCGCTCTTTGATTTTTTTTTTGTTGCATTTTCATCTGCTGAGGTTGAAACACATAAGTCCATTTTTGAGAAAGTAATGAGTAAAAAGTCGGTGGCGGGGGGATATAAGTAAAAAGTTTTCATAGAAACAAATACTCAAGTAAAGCAAAATTAATTGGAGTGGTGGCGTATTTAATTTCCGCTGCAAATCGACCTAGATTACGCAGGTGTTTCTAATTGTGTTTCCGGTGCAACTTTACTTCCCAAGAAACTTGGTCAACAATGCCTCAAAAAAGAAACGAGTCTCTTGAGAACACGGTGACGTCACTGCGGAGGACGGTGCGTTGAGGTGCTCAGTCGGATAGTGACACGCTGCTCCGTGGGAGGAAGGCGGACGGACGATGCATTATCATTATTCGCCACCAGATGTGGAAACCTAATCACACATTTACGATACACTTCCAAACGTATGTTTTTTTCATGCGTTGTGACGATAAATAATAAACATCGACTGCAGCTAGGCGCAGAAATGATGCACTCATAGAACCGTGGGGGCGTAGCCTGTGAGCCAATGGTAATAAGGGAGAGGGAGGCGGGTGGACACTGTGATGCTGCTGTGTTATCAACCGCCTCTGGTTTGTCTTTCCCAGTCCACGCAGCGGGGCTTCTCCACCTTCCTCTGCCTCCCCTTCTTCTTCCTCCTCCAGCTCGGAATTGGTCATTGACGCCACCGTCTCGCGGGCACCTCGTCGGTTCTCCAGCTCCAGCGCCGGGTGGGAGGACGAGCCTCGGATTCGGAGCCATGCGCACGGCGACGTTTCTGCGTGGGTCGGCGCAGTGACATCCAGCCGCGGGGGATGGAAGGCTTGTCATCACATTCCTGCAGACGCAACGGACGGTGATCAAGCAGGAGAAGCTGCAGTGTGGACGCAACACCATCGTATATACGCAGCGTCTGATCCGAGGGAGATTGCTTCTTGTTACCAGAGGTGTCGCCTTGCGTTTCAACCTCAACAATGGGGTAAGTGATTATGATCGCAGCTTGGTTCACACTACCCTACGGACATGCAAAACGCAGAAAAGACACAACGCAAATGGATGCGTTTTATCTTAGGGAAAAAAAAATGTTCAAATGCACCTTCAGATTGATGCTGGAGTGTTGTGTTTGATCATAAAATGCTGTCCAATTGGATGTTATTCCTCTTAATTAGGTCTGTTAGTAAGCCAGACTTGAGGCCCAACATCCAAAGTTGCATTCATTACCTTTAACTTTGATGATCCTCATTGAATTGAGAGTTTGTTCCCAAACTAAGACAAAACGGAAGTCCAAAAGTTGGTTCCATATAAATGGCATTGTGACAAGTTACCCAGGGCATTGAATTCCACTACAAATTTGGAACAAATACTTGTGCTAGGTTTTGATCGGAACTGTCCAGTAGGTATTCCGTGTACAGAAGCTTTATTACCGTGGTTCTACAGTAGTTTCAAACTATAAGGGGTGTCAAACTGCACTGCACCCCGATAAGAGGCTTTCCGAATATTTTGATCTATGTAGCTAAATGAGGACATCAAAAATATTAATGTAATGGCTGGTACGTGGGAAAAAAAATATGTACAAGATACATGGGTGTGTAAGTGCATTGAGAGCACAAACCTCTGCCAAGGCTTCATCTTACAAACTGTACACCTGTAAAAGTGACTAAACCTGTAGTTGGTGTGAATGTCAACTTTAACTATCCTCTCATATGAGCAATCTGGATGAAATGTATTTCAATAAAATAGATGGCGCCTCACCATCACGCTGTGTGCTCCCAGCCTCCATTGTAGACAGTTATGTAAGTTTTCAACATGGGCATCAGTAACAAGATGATTTCTTCTCCAATGTTGTTGCCAGACATCTATGCTGCAATTGGCTCTACACCCTGTTCCGGGTCTTTAAATGCTGGAACCGCAGTCGCAACAATGCTGAACACTATTTCTGTGACTGAGAGTGGCATCCTGTCTCCATGGCAGCAGCGGTGACCTTAAATATCTCAACATGCGCCCACCCGCGAGATATACCTGCTTGGTGTGCAACAGCGCTCATTTTCATGGCTCCCACCCGCCCAACTTGAGCCCAGTTTTCTCTAACCCCCACCAGGCCTTGCTTTCATTAACAGATGTCTCCCACAGTTTAGTGGGATTAATGACCCACCAGGAGGTTGATAATATGGTGCGAGGCATGGTGCAATTTCTGCCAAAACTCCTGCATTAGCTATGATGCACAGAAGGCTTCTGCGGACCGCGTTCACACCTCACACTAGTGTGGGCAGCACATCATCCCTCCATCCAACGGTCTCCCACCTAGCGGCAGCTCTTGCCGAGCTCTGCCACGCTGGTGACTAAGTTACTCTTATGCAACTGACTCAGTGAGTCAATTGATCCACAATGGAACAGATCAAATGCGATTGAGGGCACAGCGAATGCCTCACGTGTTGGTATGTACCTGCGCAGACGGGTGGAAGGTGTCTAAAAGTGGCGCTGTGACCTCCAGTTCGAAGCCTATTTTACGTTTCAAAGCCAAGCCTATTACAGTTTGTTGTTGGGCTGGTAACATTGATGCTTACATGTCAACCAATGACAAAAAAAAAAAATGTTTGTTGCCATGGCAGCATGTGAGTATTGACGTTCGGAGCACTAGCTAAACATCCATCCACAATGCTTGTCCTCATTAGGGCAGCACAACTGGACTAGTCATCAGCCAATCGCAAATACTGTAGACAACCAATCATTTACAATCAAATTCACACCTCTGGCCAATTTAGTGAGCAATACACCTACTTACACAAAGGACTCCTATTTTGTTTATTAACTCTTTCAATGGCAGCCATTTTCCCAAAAGTACAGTTTGAATGGCGGCCTTCGTGCGCCTTTTCAACGAGTTGGTGTGGACGGCTGAGAGTCATTCTCCAACGGGGGAGGGTGGAGGTGGGTGGTAAGGGGTTGGGGGTCGGGATCGACTGATCCTTAAATGGGCCGCCCGTTCATGAATCTCACGAAATTCCTGATGGCCACCGCGCCCCAGCGTGGTGCGTTGGCATGTGTCGTTAGCGCCCCCCCCCACCCCCACTCCAACCC